GGTCCAGAAAAAACTGCGCCAAATGACTAACTGTGACCACGACTTGACGATTTCTTGAAAAGAAAGCATGATGTTGAGACAGGATTTTCTTCATTTAATGGAACTCGTTCAGTATTACTTGGAATATCAATAGTTTTATTGAAGCATTCTGGGAAGCGCATCGGCTCTTTAAAAAATCGAATGTGAATCTTAAATAACTTACCTGACTGAGTCTGTTAAGAACGTGAATGATAGCCTTTTATTTGCGTATTTGCTTTCCTGACTGACGTACATCTCTAACATTATTTGCTCGACAATAAATCATTCCCTATATTCATCAAGATTATTGTATATTAAATTAACATGTACGTCATCACATAGCATTTAAGACAGAAATACAACGAGTTTCAATACTTCCGTTCTACCTGTTTATAGCAAGTTGATGTCATATGATTTTTCTAATGCTTTATCAAGACTGTATTATAATCATCAATTTCGAAATTTGCTTGCAAAAACTTTCATGAATTTGCTTATTTCAAAAACATCAAAAACATCGTTTCAAACTCGTTATTTTCACTTTCCTTTCATTGCATGAATCCCGTTATTTCACAAAATATCAAATGAATCGCATTCCTTTCATAAAGTTAACACCAGTTTCATTATATGACTTAAATTATTTTCATTATATTTTCATTCTTTTTATTGCGAGATTGTAATTATTTCGAGGAGCTCGAATCATCTCACACTTCTTTGATTACTTTCTCACCATATTCATTACCTGATGTTGATTTTTCTAAAAACTAGTAAATTTGCTTTGCCACTACGCGCAACAGTAAAGAAAGGTAAACTTTTGAAAAGTTCGACACAGAGTCTCTTGAATTCTAATCATTTCAGATCGAGAAGAATCATTTCAACAATTGGATTCGATCTGATCCGATCGAATTTTTTATGAATCTCTATAAAACCGACGAAATTCTATCGGAATTCGGGTTGTAGAACAACATTCGGATCTCTAATATTGGAATTTGTTGAAATTTGATGGAACCCACCGCAGGTTCATATCGATCTTTACTGTTAGTACCAGGTAATAAGTAGTACCTAATTAACAAAATAGGTTTCACCCGTCCGATTCGTTAATGGATTAGTTTCTCGGAATCTCATCAGATTTTATCGTATGGTGAGATGCCAATCAGATCCGATAGATTCAGATATCGGATTCGTTCACCTGGGGACTTGAACGACAGTTTAGTTGAATCGGGTAAAATAAAAGTCAGTCTTTTTCTTTATTCTTTTCATAACGATTTTCGTACATTCTTACTGATTTTTATTATACGAGTTTCATGCAAAAATTTCAATTGTTTTCATGAATTAAATAAAATTATGATTTGCATGGATGAATTTTAATACATATCAAGAATAGCACCCTTCTCATCGTCGACATTGGAATTCTGTTCATGTTGCTTCATGACTTTATATTAAAACGATGTAAAATACATCATTGTTTGCTTTTGTTTTTATTAAACGTGTTGAGAGAAGAAAGCAATCAACAGATCGAGAATATTATTATGAAAAAGAAAAAAAATTTAATATCTGCATCATCAAGGATTCTAGCTATCGTATGGAAAGTTATGAATTTTTCTTTTATGATATTGATCGATAGTTTTTTTTTACATGAAATGTTTTGCGATCCATCGCATGCTAATTCTTAAAAAAAGTTAATCTGCGCAGTTCCACGGAAGCTGAGATGTGCAATTCATATATTCCCTATAGAAGATACTCACAGTAAACTTCAATTTCAATTGCAGCGATCTCTAATGAGGATGATAATGCTAAATGCCTATAAGAAGGACAGACGAGGTTGAAAGTGAAGGAACTGCGAAAGGATAGGGTCGCATTAAATCTGGATTTTATCCATAGGACTTTTGGCCTTGAATCCAGCACAGCCATATATAGAATACAATAGTTTTGATCGGCGAGCATTTCGATAATAGACTTGAGTTATACTTTAGATATATTTGGTGGGTTCCTCAGTCATAATAGTCATATGAATATACTAAATATCTGTTGGACTTGATCAAACATGTATGTGAACCCTAAGGATGTGGATGTGGATGTGGCTGTGAGTTTGAGTGTGGCTATGGCTTTGGGTATGGGTATGGACAGATAAATGATGAAAATCCACATTGAACTCCACACCCACACCCACTCACGACGTTTTTTGATGAACACGTTAAAATGCTTCTTTTAAAAGACGTTTTCAAAAGGAAAAAGGATGTTGAAAGATAAATCTACGTGTTTGAACACGAAAACAACGTTCTTTTTGTCAAAAGTTTGCGCTGAAACGCATATTTTCTCTGAATTGTTTTTGATGGGCTACTTTTACACATATGGTTTTTTCAGAGTAATCAAATTCATGAAACATTTCCGATGAATATTTTGAAAATAACTGTTTGAATGCAGTTTTTTTAATTTTTGCACCATTGGTCTGATATGAAAACTGGAAAACTATTATCTAATAAATAAATCAATAAATCAATATGTAGTATATAATGTTGAATAATAGATGTTTTATTTTATTTTAGTTTCAATTTGAAAATTTTCGATCATTTCAACGATCATTTTCAACCAGATAACTGGGCATAATACATGATGTTAGAACAATAAGAAAAACAAAAATTTTAAACTTTTTTAAAAAACAAAAAAGAAAAAGAAAGAATTCAATAGTGTCTTTAAGGAACATCATTAACTTTAACATTATTACCTGTTTTAACTTAATATAAATTTTGTATAGATTGTAAGTATTTGTATAAATTTTGAATTTAAGGGGACCGTTCCCCCCTTTCCTGAGCCAAAAAAATTTTTCTTCGATTTTTTTTTTTCATGTAAAGGTGTATCAAGGTCCCCTCTATGTGAGCTATAAAAATCGGAACCATCCCAGGTCGGGAAGTCTCTGAAAAACCAGGTTTTTTGGAGACGTATGCATTAAAAAAAAAATTTTTTTTTTTCAATATAAACTTATATCATAATGTAATATATCTATACTATAAAAGTCAGGACCATCCAAGGTCGATAGGTCTCTGAAAAACCAGGGTTTTTGGCAAGATATGTGAAAAAAAAATTTTCTAATTTTTTAATGTAGTAATACGACTAAAGATTTATAAGTAACAAATAATAGAGGGGAGAAAAATTTCCATGTCTTTACACATTCAGTTTACTTATGCCTGGCTACTTTTAAAAAACAGAAAAAAGTTCTTAATAATTAGTGAATGATTGGTTAACTAATTGAAATGCAGTCTAGATATAGATTTTTCATCCATGATTACCTGTGAGTACGTATTATCGCAATTTTTGGTGCCTTTTTATAATTAACTGATAAATAAAAATTAATTAATTAATTAATCAAAATTGACTTCAGATTCACGTTCTTTGTTCTGATCTGAGTTAACTCAGTTTTTCCAGGAAAAACGTTAATTAGCCATAATCAGTTATTTAATTAATTAATTAATTAATTAAATCTGACATCACATTCGGATTCTTCACCCTCGAATACCCCTTTTGCAATCTTATAAAAAATCGGCTCCGCTAATTAATGGCTAATTAGTGATGAGTTAATTAATTAATAATTAATTAATTAAAACCGACCTCAGATTCGGATTCTCCATGCCGAACTACCCTTTGTACCACACAATTAGCAAAAATACTCACGTAGAAACGGAAAAAGAAAATTCTTCTACAAGTTTTTTTTTATTTTGCATTTTTCTCGAAACTAGTTTTTTGGGTATCAAAAACCAGTTTTCCCCCTTTTTCTCCGCCATTTCAAGTCCGATCGGGCTGAAAATTGTTTTGGTGAGACTTCAAGTGATTTGGGTTGGGCGTTTTTTTTTTTGGATGCTTTCTACGAATCAAGTTTGGCACGCTTCGCAAAATTTTTAGGATCCAAAAAACCTAGAGATTTTGCAAAGTGCTCAGTATTTTGGTTCTCCAGCCTGAAGTATTTGGAATTTTTGAAAAAAAAAACGCCCACCCCGATTGGGTCCGTCTACCCACAGTAAAAATTTCAGCTCAAACGGATGAAATCTGTGGATTTGCGGGGGGGGGGAACTTTTTGCAAGTTTTTGACCTTGGGGTCTCTGGAAGTCCATGAAGATGACGTCTGGCAAATTTGTGCCTATGACAACTTTTGCTCTACTACTCGAGGTCTATCTACCCTGCAAGTTTCAGGAATTTTCGTTCGGCCGTTTCTTAGAAACGCCGGAAAGGGGGAGGTCCCCTTAACCTTTCCAATTAACAGCAACAACAAAAAAATTTATTACAGTGAAACGTAAATATCTTTTGCAGACAAAAGTTTTATAATAAAGCGTAAAAACGATTATTCATTTTTTATGAAATACCGATTTTTTTCAATCTTGACACTCGCGGTGCCGCACTACATTTTGTAACCGAGTAAAATTCGAATGCCATTTAGTTATTTAACGTACTTGAAAGTAAGGCGCCAGTTTAGTTTTAGTCGCTTTGAAAAGCCAGTAAAAAATGGTGTCGTTACTGAAAGGACTTTTTCATTTGTCAGCTACTACTGCTGATAGGAAATTGAATGAGGTACAAAGTTAGATTTTGAAATAGACTTCATATTTTTAGATTTATTTTAATTAAGACCTAAGTATTTTTTAGTGCTGTTTGAGGATATCACGGAGCAAAACTTCTACATTAAAACGAAATGGTTTGTTTTTTGTTAGTTATACAGTTAGAAGATAATTTGATAACTGCTAGCAATCAACAATTTCTGACAGTCAATGGCAAGCAGTCTAGAAGTGAGCTTGAAATTTTGAGATGTAAACTTTCTAATTTACACTGATTTTAGATTCTGAGTCGGTGGGTAACTTTTCTGGATCATCATCGATAGACTTGAAATTTCAAAATTTGTTTTACTCGAATATTCAAACCAAGAAGATCAGTAGGAAAAGTAACAATATACTAGCTTCAGTACTCTCAAAACTAACTAAAAAACGATCGGCCAAGTATCAGTTTCACGTCTAGCCACTCTTACAAATGTTGTTATTGTTTATTAACAGTCTAGAGAGTGTCGATGTATAGAAGATTGCAAATTCAATATTAAACTCTGAAAATCAAATAAAGCTAAACAAATCTCACATTGGTGTACATTGTCAAAGATGACAGAATACTAATAGCAAGTGTCGTGACTAGAGATATGCGGGATCAAGTTTTTGGTCCTAGTTCTAATCTAGAGAAACCTATTTCAAAATTTATTCATATCATATCTAAAATAATTCTTCAATACTCGTTTTTTTTAATTTATTTAGTGGACAACAAGCACTGTTTTGAGTCCTCTCGTTTGAATTATATTTTGATCATATGATTTACAAGATCAATCGCTTAAAACCATAGAATATTTAACTATAATCTTCAGTTCCGGCTGAAACAACTTTTTTCTCGTAGTCCCTGTCTCGCACATCTCTAGTGGTGACAAACATTTTGTTATATCTATTGATTTAGACTAAGCAGTTGGCTTGCTACAATATCATAGCCGTCTAGAATCGGTGTGAGTACAGGTAAAGACTTTGTTGAAGCCGATAATAATAATTTAAAACAGTTCTTTCTAATCTTTTCGCCATGGATATTAACTATGAACATTTCTTTATCATCAGTAAAAAAAAATTAGTCTATTTGATCAAACTATGATGGAGATATTCAATTTTTTTGTCCGGTAAAGTAACTTTTAGTCGACCCTATATTTTCCAATATATAAATAGACAGAAAAAAAAAAGTTAATTTATAAATTATATTCTCAAATTGAATAAAGAAGTGAAATTTTAATGATATATCGATGTCTTATTTGTTAAAAACATCTTTTCGAAATTTTTTATTGACTTTAAATATTAGAATTAAACAACTACAACAGAACAAAATAAATCAAACTTTTTATAAGAATTTTTTTTTCATAAGTACAACAATGAGAACAAACGAAACAACATCTTAATTTAATCGTCTGTAAAATTTATTCATCACAACAACAAACAATAAATAACATCCATTAAAATAAATATATGTCCAAAATAAGACAAAACAAAAACGTATCTTTCCACATTAAAAACAAATAGAATAATAAAAATATGAGAATAGATGCTTTCTTTAATAAGACAATGTTTATTGATATTTATTGACTATTATCTAATTTAAAATTGTATTAGTTTCAAAAAAAAAACAAAATGTATATATTTCATTTTTGGCTTTAAATTTTTATACTTTGCTGTCTTGAGAAAAAAAAACATCTGACAAAAACAAAAAAATAAAAAAAAAAATAAAAGCATTCTTATTGCTTAATAATATCTTGTTCTTCTAATCGTTTCAATTCTTGTAAAACAGGAATATTTAATATCATATCTGGATCAAGTTTATTCCAATAGACACGTTCTGGTCGTTGAAATAAACATTTTGTATAAATATATCGTTTTGGTGTTACTATAATATCGACTGGTAAATCATGTTGTTCCATAATATTATTTGGTAAATCATTAATTAATTGACTTTCATGACATGTTGTTATAACAATTGTTTTATTTGTAACACAACCCATTTGTGACATAATAGCATATTCTAAATCAGCATAACCTTTACCTTTACCAATTCGAGCACCAGTTATAGGATTAACAACAACTGATGCAACAATAACTAAATCAACATGAATTTGTTTTAATGCTGTTAAGTGTATAATAGTGCCTAATTCAGCAGCACCAGGTTTTGTTGCTGCCCATTCTAATTGATTTCGACGTAAAAATTTTGGATCTAATTTATAGAATAGAACCGACTCTAAAAAAACAAAACATATCATTTTAGTGATTTTTCTTTTTTGTTTTACGACATCAATATATTTTCATTTTATTACTTTTGAATGAAAGAATATTCTCAAATGATTATCAATTTTTGACTTTAAAAATTAACTTATAGTAACAAGTCTAAATGAAGTTTTGATTCTGATCAGTTCTAGAGATGTAGTAAGCCGATGCATTGATCGGCAACGACCGTGACTGACTTTTTCATCTGTCAGTGGCGCAGCTTCTCAGCCGATCGGCTTGCACTTCTAATAATTTCTTTTCAAGTTATACATTCGTAAATCAATGAAAATATATCCTTTATATTATTTCAGTATTGTATTTATGTGATATCATATAGGAGAAATAGTAATGGAACGAGCTTATACATAAAGTCTTACATTGGCATTCATAGTTGCATAGTCGAAAACGTTTGAACCAGATATTAATGTGTATAATCATAAATATTGATCAAAATGTGAAATATATGGTTCGTCTCGGACTACTATTAGTTAACATTTGAAGTCCCTCAAAGCAGCCAAGGATGTTTAGTTTTATTTGGACAATTTGATTTGTTAGCGATATGACTTTGCATAATAAAAATACATATATCTCTCAACTCGAGAACTTGTTTTAGTTAATTTTTATATAACTGAGATGTATATTGAACTACTCGAGATACTCGAAAAAATTCACTTCTATACATCTTTATTACGTCGAGTTATTAGTGAAAAACTAACGTTAGCAACGTAAAACAAAAAGGGACAAAAATTTTCACTACACCTGTTTCAAAATATGTGAGCAAAATTTTTTCTGAACTAGTGGCAGCATATTGGAATACCTAACTATCAAAAATTAATTGGAAACATACTAAAACAAAATGTAGGCATCATCCTCACCTTCATCTTTATCTAATCTTTCTTCATTAATGAAAGTTCTCATTTATTAGACATGTCGAATATTTGTCGTACTAATAAACTTTTAAAAATTTGTAATAGATTATTAAAAAAAAAACCTACTAACCAAGTGCAGGTGTTGGAGTTAAAAGTACTTTATTATAAGTTAATGTTAAATAACGAAGAGGTTCTTGTGCAAGTGATGGATTTATTTTGATAACACGTGCTCGTTTAAAACAATCTAAACTAGTAACATTTTCAGCAGCTAATTCACAATAACGAAAATTTGGTATTCGACCATGAGATGGACGTGGAAAACGAACTTCATTTCTAAAACAAAATAAGAAAAATTTGTATATAAAATAAAATAGAAAAAAACAAAAATGAAAAATTTATTTGTTTCATTTACTTCATTTCCATTAAATCCCAAACAAGTTGTCGTGCTTGTACTTTAAATAATTTAATATTTATTATTTTTATAATTGATTTTATTTGATTATTTTTTAATTCATTTCGTTGTTTAAGCCAAACATCCATTTTCATTAAAATTTCATTTATACTTTTACATTTAATTGTATGATTACATGTTATTAAACCATTAACTATATCTTGTATACATATCCATTGATGAACATGTTGTCGATATTGATGATGTATTTTATGTATTTGTGTTTTAGTATTATTATTTGTTTCATTCGTTAATTCTTCATCAATAAGTAAATTGGGATAACCAATAGCATTACATAAAATTGATGAATTATGATCAACATCGAGAGCACAGACTAAATCAGATAAAAATAATCGATGAAGATTGATCGAAATTCGATAAAACACGCTCATATTAATAATTTATTTATCTGACAATCAAAACTTTAGTGTGATCGACTTTTATTACTTTTAAATGATGTGATTGATGAAACCTTATCATCTCTCAGTGTAAAATCGAAATTAAGATAAATGTATGGGAAGATAATCCGAGGTCTAAACTTTCATAAAAGACATGATTTTTTTTTCTGGAAAAATGAATTTTAAAGTGTTCATATAGAAAATAAACATCTTAATAAGTTTCATCAATCATTAAAACTAATGCAGTAATACAATGAGATATTAACTAACGGATAGACAATGTAAAAGTTTTATTTAAAAAAAATTTTAATATGACAAAGATTCACATAAAAAGAAAACTGTTTGATCGTACATCCTAGATTTATCAGTTGACCTTCATTCTATACATTTGATTTCTTTTTTTGCTTAAAAGTGTGTATAAAATTGCACTAGCTACCAATGTTTACATGAGCAAGTAATAAGTGGTTTCAATGAAATACTAGCTGATGCTGATTTATGAAACATGTTTACATATGATACACGAATGAAGAATATTTGTAAAGATGAGAATGACGACTTCAGTTTTAAACTTATTTTTCTTTCTTTTTAAAGGTTATCATAACAGACTGAATAATTATATCTATCGATATTATTCCAACATATGGTCTTTCATCAACTTCTTGCAATACGAAGAAGAAAAAAAAGGGTACAATGCATTACGATTCAAAGGTCGGCTGATGCAATAAGAAAGAAAAAGAAATATTCGAACAACACATATACCGAGAATAATCTTATTAATACATCAGATCTTCTTACTTTTTTTTCTCCTATGCAATTGCGTATACATCATTTGCATGTACTTAATTTGAGATTAATTTTTCAGGAGGGAAGAGTCTTACGTATTTTTCCTATTCAATAGATTTGATATGAAATTTTAGATTTCGCTTGAACAAAAAAAAAATTAATTAATATTTACCACATAAATCTGAAGTCAAACCAGTTGAATAGAACATACATCTATGTTTAAAATCTAATCGTTGTTCAATCATTTCTAATAGAAGATCAGTTGAATTAGTATTTGTTGATGTTGTAGAACAAGATAATGCACGTCGACTAGATTTTTCACAATTAATTGGTGATAAACAATTATCCATAGTTGTTGAATTAGTTGAAGGTATATTTGTTGGCATTTGTTTTAATATTGTTCGTCGATCAATATCAAGTAGACCACAAAGAAAATCTGATGAACGTATTATATCACAAACTGTTCTTTGTGAACCATGTTTACAAATTTCAACTTCATATGGTGATAAAAAATAACGATTTTGTTTTCGTGAAAAATTATAATAGAGTAATATATGAGGTAATTCTTCAATTATAGTCACCGGAAAAAACATAAGCTTCATATTGTTGGTTTTAATGTTTTTTTTGAGATATGATAATAATTGTTTAATTTTTCATATCTACAAACAAAAAGAATAAATAAAATTATCAGGTTCTTACTCTTATAGAGTTTCAACATTGTATTTTTGTTTTTTTTTTTGATAAAAAGAAAAATAACACTATGAAATAAAATAAACACACATATTATATGAAAAAAAAAGACAAAGACAAAGCACCGAACTATCTGTTTTCATTTAACAAATAAATAAAAAGTTCATATCATAAAAAAAAATATTAAATTTTATATTTCTTAGCTTTATATATATATATATAATTGAATATTACACATTTACATATTCTGTTGTATGATGGAATGAGAGAAATAGAAAAAAAAAGGAGGAAAATAAATTATGAATCAATTTATGGATTACCCGTTAAAAAGTGAACAAGTCTTTTTAGTTCATCTTTTAATAAGTGGCTTAAACCATAATTATCTGGATTAAATTGGCTAAAATTTTTAATATGTAAAATCAATTCAAATAAACAACGTTCTTTAAGTGTTAAAATCCATCGTGAATGTTCTAAATTAAGTTTTGTACATAAATGTATAAGATCATCAATTTGAATTGATGATATTTTTGTTTGTAATAAATTTAATTGAATTTTATTTTGAATAGAATTTAATGAAAAAAATGGATGTTCAATTAATGATTGAAGTTCAATACGTTTATCTGATTGAAATTGAAATATTTGTTTTAATAAATCATATAAATAATCTTTTCTATTATTATCATTTGGATGTATTATATATTGATTAAATATTTGTTTTAATAAATGATTAAGACGTTGTTGATCACTGTCACATTTTATATTTGAAAATAATTGTTTGATATGACATGGAAAATGATCAATGAATGATAATGTTAAACCACCAACTAATTGAACTATACAAAGTAATTGTAATGATGGATCATCATTTTGTGGACGAAATAATATTGTATTAATCATCATTTCAACTATAATACAACCTATAGACCAGACATCTTCTTTTGAATTACCATTTGATTCAATGCTGAAAAAACAATTAACATTGATGTTTCTATTCAAGTCTAAATCTTGAAAGTATTCAAGATCTAATGGCGTAAACAGAAGAAGCCTCCCGTACTACCAGATGCGGTCAACTTAAAAAGTAGTTCTAGCCTCGTGTAGAAGTGTTACTACCGAATCTCGATCTTCTTTGCAGACATGGTTAGGGGCTACCGGAATTTCCTCAGATGTTTTCTTCAATGATTTTTATTTTGCCTATAGCTACTATAGAGTGTTCTAATAAAACTGCTACAAGGATTTGGGTTCCGATTGAATATCGAATTTTTAACATGCACATTTTCTAGAGGACTTCAGATTTTCGAAAAATTCGTATTGTCAAATTTTGTGCATATAGAGAACTAGAATAACTTTCAAAAAATGCATGTTGTTATTCAAGATTTCTGAATTCCTTTATGAAAGCTAATCTATTTGGGTTCTCTATGTGCGCAAAGTTTCAGATCAAAATTCAAAAATACAAGTTTTCCGAAAATCTGAATTCCTCTAGGAAAAAAATCGATAGTTTAGTTAGCTATCAATAGTTACCTAAATCCTTTTAGGATTTTTATTCGAACACTATTAGTATCTATAGATCGACTTGTTCGGCTAACTATGCTACCGGAAGAGTGAGAGTGTTACTATTTCAATGTATTTTATTCTTACCGTAAGTTTAGAAAGATTGACTAGGAGACCGTGATCGACATATGATTGTGTTCCTTAAACTATGCTCTACAAAATATGTTTTTCACTTTTTTTTTTGTATCTAGGCTAATTGTTTACCTATCAGAATAAAAGAATGAAAGGGCTGGAAAACTCTTAATGGCTCGAAGTATACTTCAGATTGACAAAGGAATGAATTAAGTACTTAAAAAAAAAATGAAAAGTTTAATTTTTAGAGTATAGTTAAAGAAAAAAAAGGTAATATGTCGCTCACATATTCCTAAACAATCGTTCAAAACTTATGCGAAGGATAAAATGCATTGGAATAGTAACGCGTTCACTCTATATTTATAACAACAGGAAAGAATTTCATTTATTATCAATGATTGAATCAAAATACTGTCACTTCTTGCTGACACTGTGTATAATTTTTAGCACGCAACAAATGAATGTTTCAATCAAATGCATTCAAAGAAAAGAAAAATAAAGGTTGTAATGATCTTTCATAAAAATTTTTTATCTATCTATAATTAATAGAAATGTTAAACTAGTATTGCTTTTTGTTTCTATCATATTCTTTCATAGATACAAGTAAATTTAAAAAAAAGATAATTCGATCTTTAGTTTAGAGATGTGCAGAGTAGGGTAAGGGTGTGAAAATTTTTTTAAATCATAGTATAGGATACAAAAAAAGCTTACCCTACATATTTCTACTTTAGAGAGAGTGAAATGAGTTGTAGAATTTTGTTGTAGTCATAGGCTAAAAACAAAAAGTTTTCAAAAAGGAAGAAAATAGAACCCGACCGAGTTCGGAATCCGGATCACCTAAGCAGATTCTAGCGACTATCCAATTCTGTTTAGAAAATTTCATTGAGATTACCAAGATATGATTCGAGTATGAAAATTTTGCACCCTACGGGCTCTATAGGAGCGTATTTAAGAGAATCGAATGAATTTAAAGACTAAACACATCTTAAACTTACTGAACAAGAGATTCATTTTTAATAATCATTCTTATTAAACTTTCTGGTGCATGTCTCCATAAATGATGATGTTGTACGATTCCACCATTAAGTTTTGTTGTTGATATTGTTGGTGAACATAATCGAATTTGATCATCACATGTTAATTCAATATTTGTTGTATACCTTTTTATCAACAAGAAAAAAAAAAAATTTTAAATTAGTAACAAACAAACAAACAAACAAACAATATACCAAGGTGTTAATGGACAAAAACCTTTTGATTGTAAATAAATAGTTCCATTTATTATTTGTAATGATAAACGACAAATACGTTCAAGTGAAAATGTTTGAGATTCAATTGCATGACGTAATGTACCTTGTAAAAGATTTGTTATTGAATAAATACATCCATCAGCAATATACCAAGATAATATTCGACGAACATTTGTATGTGATAATTGACTAGTTAAAAGAATTCGTTCATATAAATGATTTATATATTGTTGTGTACTTGTTTTAGATTTTAAACAAAGATATTTAGTTATATGTATACGTTGATTTAATATTGGATCAATAGCATTTATTGATGGACTATCAATACCACCTAAAAAATAAAAGATTAATAGAAAATTTTGAAAATAGAAAATATAAATATTTACCATGAAATAAAGAATCAGATGTTAGATCTTGACGAGTAATAAATTCACGGGGAATTGTAAATGCTAAATTAGTATCAGTTTCATGATGATCATTAGTTTGTTGTTGAGCAAAAGAATATTGTTTAAAACGAGACGACCTAAAATTTGAAAATAAAATTCAAATTGACGAGAAGAAGATATTTTTTTGAGCACAATTTGATAAATTTCTGTTTCACAAAAAAGGTTATTTAAGAAAGATGCAGGATAGATTAGTAGCAGAACTTGGAGTGATTATCATGCTTGAAATTGAAGTACGGTTCGAGTCTGTGTGCAGAAATGTTGAAAATGACGGGGTCAAAAAGATACCTAATCAGAGCCTGCAATAGAAGAAGAAATGCAAATACAAATCTAAATCACTAATTTCATTTCTTATACAAATTGCAGTTTACATCAGACTACTTAACGATTAGCGTCCGCTACTTCAGATTCGAAACTGAAGGGCTGTACTGGCGAAAGAGATCTAACGTTTATTTATGACTTGTATTTATATTCAGAAATGTATATGAATGTGATTAGTCAAAATATGAAAGCATTTGAACAGTTGAATATAATTAATAATTTCAATGGAAAGCTAAAAGAAAGAGTTTCGATATGAAATTTTACCCCATAATTGCTCTCTCAAATTTTAAAATCACTGTAAAACTCTCTACCAAAATATTTGTCTTATTCTTCAACTATTGATTACTCAAAAAACCAAATCATATATTTTAAAAAGTCCAAAAACTAAAAGATTTTCAATTGATCGTATATTCAAAGCAAGACATGCATTTGAAGATCGTTTACTACTAATGACTTTTATCAATCTGAAAATCTCAAGTACTCTTGTTTATGATTGATTGCTTATTAGTAACCGAGAATAGAAGCTTGAAGCACTGACGAGTGTAGGATTTTAGGAAAGGAAGGCGATTATGATTATAAAATGTGTTTTGAAGTTCATTAAAGCTTGTATCAGCTCATATTTGAACGTTTTCTACTGAGAAAATTCAAGCAATTGTTCAGAAGGAAAGAGTAATCGTACTAGTGCCTCCCTCGAAATCTACCACTTGCCTAAATAATTGTTTTTGCTTCAACATTAAATAAATATTTTACAAGCTGATTTCGATAATTAAAGTAAAAGATCTCGTGAAATATAATAAACATCAAATTACTTTTAATTATTGATGATCTCTTTATAGCTTTCTTTTTTTTTCTAAATTAGAATAAAATATACTTGATTATTTTAATGTTGTCTAATCTTTAAGTTCATTACAAGTAATTATACTGATTTCAATTATAAAGAATAAAACAAAATATCAATTCTAATTAATTGTAATATATGACACTATGAATAGAATAATAGATAAAATATGTTACTTACCACATGATAGAAAAGAAATATATGGATAATCATATGTCAATCGTCGATTATCAGAATCTATAATAAGAGTAGACGAAAAATTTTTTCTGTTCTTTATTTTCAAGTATGAATGACGTCTGTTTTTTGTAAAGTATGGAGAGACGGATTTTTGCCTTATCTTAATGTTCTTATTTCTTTATAATAGCAGAGAAATCAAAGTATAGAGACAGATTTTATGTTGAAAAGTAAGTATATTCATAGAGATTGAGAATATAAAATTCGTGTTTCGACTAGATTAACTTGATGTTTGTCAAGAGAAGATTATAGTCTAGCTGAGGATTTTCGTGAACTAATATTCCAAATTCGCGCTTTTCAAAACAAAAATTTCTGTTTTATTAAGAGGACTGTTTTTATTTTTCTCTCATATCTTCTCTCTTCCAGCTACGTGTTTTGTTTCAATAGAAGATATTTTCAGTTTAAATAAAGAATAGATCAAAATATGTTGGTTTGAATTCCGTGTTTTATTGACTGACATTTTTTTGTATGAAGAATGGGTGGATTAAAACGAACATACTATCATCTACAATTATTTCATAGGCAAATATTCTCCATAATTCTAATTCTTTCATTCGACTGACGAAGATATTTTTATTCTAGTTATTTCTCTTTTCATTTTTAAGTAATATACTTATACATAAGTCGAAGGACTATTCGTTACTCTATATGGGTGTCTGACTGGATCAATTCTTTTTGGTTTCGTGAAAGCCGAAACACAATTCTCATTCGACATTTCTCTTTAGATTTTTAATTTTTAAATAGAAAAAGAAAAAAAATATGAAGGGTCACGAGAATTTTTTTTTATTAACGAGATAATGAGCGCAACGCAAAATAGAGGTATGAAAAAGGGCTACAAATGAGTTCAGCCAAAGACGAAGAAACAAGAACAAGAAGAAGAAGAAGAAGAAGATAGATCTACATACAATGACATTACGAACGGTGAGTAAGGGTAGTATATAATATCTGTGTCACAAGTGGAAAAATAATAATAATAATAATAATAATAATAATAATAATATACGCAAACAACATTAGTGAAATAAGAATTATGATAAACAGTTGTTCCGAATTTTTTTTTTCTACAAATGATATTAATTGTTGCGAATATGAAATAAATAAAAATTAATTTTGACATAATGCATACACTGTTCGAGAAACGCGAGATACAAATACCCAAACACAAAAAAAAAAAAACAAATGAAAAATCCTACAACACCCATTACGTAAATGTCTAGACGAGGGACAAAAAAAGAACTCTACTCAATATTTGTTTTGCACAAATTAATAAACGAAATGAATTTTTTCTCGTAGCAGGTCTTTATTTTCTTGATTTTAATAACCGGACCACAAAAAAAGGAAATTTACAGTCAAAAGACCAAAAAATATTGATAGTACGTTGTGTAATGGTCGACAATAAACATATATATGTGTGTGTGTGTGTATATCATAATCTGAGAATTATAATATAATGAGATAATTGTATCTAGATGAATTGAACGAACGTACAAAAGACATTTTATACACAAAAAGAGAAACATGTTATATCAAGGGAAAAGAGAAAAAAGCGATTATTGTAAAATTTTTGTTTTATACCAGATTCAATGAACAGATCTAATTTCGTTGAGGAACTGGTGGGCGTTCGAATGGTCGTGGTGGAATGGATGGTGTTGGACGACTAGAGAAAACAAAAAAAAAAAAAACAAAAATATTTATTTATTCTCATACAAATTAACTAATAATAAAACTAATATCGGGTATTGAGTTTCGGTGTGTCGAGAATAGACGACAGATATATCAAGCAACAACGACAATTATTTATTATCTCATAGGACAACTTACATCGGCGAAATAGGTGGTGGCAAGCCCCCAGGCTGTGGACTTGCTCTACCTTGTTGATTCATAGCCGGTCTGCAAATATAAGAATAGCATTGGAAAACGAGTGCATTGTTAGTAGAAGCAGAAAATTAAAAAAAAACATGCTGTTAGTAAATCTCAATCATGCTTATTTAGTAAAAAAAAAAAAAACAAGATTAAATTCATGCGGCCAATATTAATCGCGGAATTGTGTGTATGTTTTTTTTTCATTAATTTCAAACTTACGCTGGTACTGGAGGGTTTGAAGTACCATTCTGATACAAAGGTGATGATGTAGGTGTAGCAAACGGATCTAATCCGTGAAACATATTAGATGATGGTTGTGATGATGATGATGATGATGATGTCGCTGTACTCTGAGCTCGCCTATATATAATAGTATAGACATTTACGCACAACATCAAACAATAAAAATTATAGGAGAGCAAAAACACAAAAAAAAAGTAAACCATGTTAGAATTAAAAGCGCATAAGTAAATTTTTATAATTATTCTTTGATCAATAGTTTAGCCTAGGCAATTGACACTCACGCTACTTTTTTTGCCAATTTTTCATTTAATTCCGAGAATATATTATTAGTATTATTCGATGATGTATTTGTTTGAAATTTATTATTTGAAGCAGGCCTGATAGGGAGATTAGATTAAAAAAAAATGTTCAGCTCATTTATATATGAATATATTTATGAAGAAAAACAAAAAAAAACGAAATTAGTCATGACTTACTGTGGCATAATTGGTGCTGGTAAATTTGATGGATTTCCACCAAATGAACCAGGTACAGGACTTGGACGAAGTGGTGGCGGTGGTGGTTCACGTGATGGAAATGCACTCGAAGTTGGACCTGTAGGTGCCTGCTGTTTCCGTTGAGGATTTGGACTCGGTGGACGATTGCTAGACAACAAAGAAGAAAAAAACAAGTTCAATTTAAAAAATAAAAGAATATTTTTTTTATTTTCTATATACAATCCATATGTAGGTTGAAAAATAGAAGCATCAAGTGAATTGTTTGAATAATTCGATGATGATCCATAGTTATTAGTAGTATTGGAGAAACTTGAAAAACCAGCACCTAATACAGATGCAGGCATAGCTGATCCAGCTACTTTTCGTGCATTGATTTGAAAATTTTCGATTATATTTAAAGCCTAAAAAATATAATATAAGAAAAACTTGTCAGTAAAGTTTATATAGATAATTCAAGATCTATTGCATATAAAATATTGCTTAACAAATACAAGATTCAATTCATTAAATCGATTATATTGTTTATTATTAAAATACCCACTACATTCTTCCATCATAATACTAACTGTGATTGATACTATATAGTCATTTATAGAGATCGACAAGTTCAGTTTCTTTCAGCTCTCTCAATGTATCCCTACAGTAAACGAAAAAACAATCAGGGCATAGCCTTAACTGTAGCAAACCCCTCTACAAGGGCTGTACTTTTGATAGGAACTGATATTTGTCGAACAGCTCACGAACGAACCATTTTAGCTGCACCCTTCCGATTTCTATGTTTCTTTTTGTCGATTGATACAACAGTGTTCTAATAAAAAAAACCTGAAAGGATTTGGATAACTACTCCCAGTGACACCCGCCGTTGAAGTTCATATTGAATTGACGGGTAGGTCTCAGTGAGGATAGCAAAAGCCTAAAAGAGTTCGTCCCCATTGGCCTTTGTCACTCAATTATGATCGATTTACTGCAGATCTAAGAGTCATTAGACTTCTGGTAAACCGACTAGAACTGAGTGACAAAAACTGACCCATTTAGGTTCTTGCTATTCTCACTGAGACCTGCCTGTGGATTCCATATAAACTCCAACGGCAGATGTTGCTGGGGTAATTATCCAAATCCTTTTAGGATTTTTATTAGAACACCGTGTAGTATCTATAGGCCAAGAAATCATTGAAACCAGAAAGGAATAGCTGACGAGATTTCCTCGTGAGTTCCGAGACTTGAACTGGGACCTGATTGATCTTCCTCTCTAGTCGTTTAAAACACCGACTAACTTCATCTCTGAATCCAACAAGTTTCAGATTCATACATAATGTATCGAAGTCTAGCAAGTCTAAATTCGTATCAGTGAAGTCAATGGAACTTTTATTTGAAAGATACATGAGTTCTATAACATTAAAATTTATTTTTATTAAGCATACATTCTTAATTGCTTCAAATTCTGCAAGTTTTGATTCTCGTCGTTGTCGTTCTTCTTCAGATTCTTGTAATAATGATTTCTAAATATAATAAAATCAATAGTAAACTCTATTGAAAATAAACAAAACAAGATTTAATCTTACTGGATCAGGAAAAGCATAAAGATGTGCTAATAATTCTTTAGCTACAAATTTTTGTAACTAAAATCAAGGAAAAAAAAACAACTCAATAAATTTTTCAAGAAAACAAAGGAAGTTCACTAACATTTTGAACAATATGATACATAATTGTTTTTGGAATGTAATCACGTGTCATTCGAGCAACTATTTGCATATATGATGTTACTAATTTATTGATTGTTTCAACTTGTCGTTCCATATGTGGATCAACAGGACCAACTTCAGCTGCTGCCTATGAAATTTGAAGTAAGAAAAAAAAAATCCTTTTCTTTTTTTTTTTTTGAATTACTTGTGGATCTTCTGGTCGTTGTTCACGTTCTGGATAAACACCAGCACGTAAAAATGATGCTTTCCATGTATCAAGTTCTTCGCTATTATCAACTGATAATTCAAGAGTTTTATGTTCTTTATAAACATTTCTAAATAAAAAAAAATTTATTTTTTACGAAGAACAAAAAAAAAAGATAAAGAACTACTTACTTTCCTTCAGTATTAAATATCGCAAATTGTGGTCGTTTAGCCATAAAACCACCTTCAACATCACGAATTCTAAGATTTTCTAATGGTAACATATATCTTTTTTCTTTTTCCTATTAAATAAAAATCAAAACAAAAAATTTCAAAACAAAAAATTTCATTTCATTTCATACATCAGAATCTGTAAACCAAGAAAGATTATCGGTTGATAAAACAAAGAAATAATCTTTTGCTTGAAATAATTTAACACCAGTATGAACACGAAGAAATCCTTTACGAATAACCTAAAATTATAAAAATTTATTTTAAACAAATAAAAATGTTCTATTAAAACAAAATAAAAACGAATAATTAACAATGATGGCAATGGTAAAAATAAAATAAAAACATGACAACAATTTTACAAAAGACTCTCTACTAAAAAGAATTATCCAGATGAGAATAGCATACTTGACCCTATAAGAATAAAAGTGCATATCGATCGAGAGGTCAATAGAGCAGGTGAATTAGTCAAAGTAAAAAGAAAAAAAAAATTTTACCTGAGTGGTAACAGTTCGTTTGGTTTCACCGGCACTAACTGATTTCTCTGCACTAAAAAATAAATTCAAAATTAATAAAAAAAAAAATCGGTGTGATTCGCATTTATTCGAATACTAGAAGATATTGTGAGGTAGCGCGATTGGTCTCGGACTCGAAAAATTTCAATCAATCGGGCTCGGCTCTGGATCCGAGAATTTGGCCTCATTAGGTTCTATTGTGCGTAGAATTCGGTGGTTGCAAAAGTTACCTGAAAGCGCAACTCAGGTTTTAATCTCAAGAATTGATATAGATTTTAAAATTTTTATATCTATTTAATGGTTTCAGTTTATTGAAACCGTTGAATTTTAAATATGAGTTCTTTATAAATAATCATATGTAATCTTGAATTTGATATTCGATTACATCAATATAAGATTAGTTAAAAGCTTCACTTTGAATAATGACAGATTAAATAAATGCATTTTATCATTCATATAGTTTCGATTAATCTAAATGCATTCTTTTTCTTTTGTTATTAAAGCTCATATGTATATAAGCATGTTGCTTTTAGACATAAGATTTGATCTGGTTAATGTTTCAATAACAAAAAAAAAAAAAAAAAATTTCATTATGAAAATTTTATTCATTAAATCTTAAATCCAATAAATAAGGATAGATTTTGAAAACAATATTAACCAAGATGAATCTATTTCTATAGTAATTAGAAATAATAATATTGTAAGTTTTCTAGTAAATATTTGACTTCATATGTCATTCGCACCATTAATCATTTGGCTAGTTTTTCTATTCAATTATATAAACAGATTATAAGAAGATATTAAACATTTGTGGAAAACCCGATTAATGAGCGAAGATAACCAAGTGATAAATTGTTTTTAAACTAGGATTATTTGTCAACCGATAGAGCCTAATAAGTAAATAAATATTCTATGCAATGACTTTCTATTCGGAAATTTTTTTTTCTGTAAGCTAGTCTAATCACGACTTTTAGGCGGGTAAAATTCGATATCTTATTAAGAAATTACGCAAAGATATTTATCTACTCACACCAGATCCTATTGATTGAATAGAGTCATAGCTTAAAAACGATTTATCCTTTGGCGACCTTCTTTCATGTGTACCGTTCTTGGCAATATATCCGAAGTTAATGCTAAGCTGCTATCAACATAATCCCTTCGGATGGAATTATTAATTAAAACTACTGTTCTTTTTTTTTTTTTGCTTAATGAAAAAAAACAAAAATGTTACCCTGCAAATCCAATAAAATCTTCATTATTCGTATTAATATAAGATAATTGAGTTTGAATATAAGTTGAACAAGCTTGTTTAGTTGCAATTTCACGATCTCGTAAATATTGTGTTAATAAATCTTCTGTTGCTTGTCTTAATAATGGATAACGTTTCATCTTCAAACACACAAAAAGCAAAAAAACAAATTCAAAAAAAATATTTAAATAAATAAAATTTTACTTTATTTGTTGATTCATGAATAATAGAAAGTAATTCTGATACAACCATATCAACACATTTCATAACTGGATCTTCAAATTTAGATATTTGCATTTGTACAATATATTCAAATGCTTCATCAGGAGTAAATAGACCCGATCTAAATAATTCAAAAATCAAAAAATCCTTTTTTTTAAAAAAAAACTTCTCATACCGAAAACCACGAATATTTTTAATTGCAACTATTGTTTGATTACGCATATCTTTATCTTGTAATTCAGTCTATAATAAAAAAAAGAAAATATATACATTATTTTAATTTTGATTTTTTTTTTTAAGAAATCAGAAAACAAAAATTTTCTTTTTGTTGTTTGTTTTTGTGCGTACTTTGACTAATTCAAATGGAAAACGTTCACGAAATATGTTAGCAATACGTGCACCACCAGTTAATGTTTTTAAATCAGCTTCTTTTAAATGTGTACCCTGTAATGCTGTATCAAAAGTTTCATGTAATTCATGTGTTAATCTAAAAAATAATAAAACAAAAAATTTTATTAGCACAATTCTTTCAAGATTAAAATGTGAAACACGATATAGCTACTCTTGCTAATAACAGGAGTCTCGATGATAGTCTTTGGCTAGGATCTGTTAGATATTCAAATTTTTACTCCTATACTCTCATTTTAGATCGTATTTCACATAAAAATATAATTATTTTTTTTTTTTGTATTACCCGACAAGTGCTTTTGTATCCGAAGTTGTTGATGTATCAAACGTAGCTGATGCACGATATTCAGCAACTTCTTTTGCTAAATCACGATGTCGAGATTGTAATTCTCGTTGTAAATCAGGTAAACATTTAAGTATATGTTCAGTTAATTGAATACTAAGTGTACGTTGTAAATATGGTACACCTAATCGATCAGCAATATCACTATAAAAGATTAAAAAAAAAGAATAATAATAAATTATCAAAACAAACAATAATTTATTTACCGATATGCTGGATCGTTTTGAAAAAATTGACGTTCATGTTCTAATGCACCCGGAATGTCAAATTCTTTTGATGCTCGACCATATTCATCAAGACGTTGACCACGAAGAACAACACCAATAAAACCTATATTAATCATAAAGAATATTATGATTAATTACTAGTTGTTTGTTTGTTTTTTTGATTTACCTCGTTCGAGAACAACAACTTTATTTAAAAGTACTTCACGAGCATTATGTCCTTTACCCATCATATCAAGTTTAGTTAATACACCAATTGTACGTTTACCCATTGGATCTCGACTACGTGCCATAACTAAAGCATCTGATGTCACAAGATCAATATTAGCTGGTGTAACAGCTAATATAAGACAATTTTCATTGCTTATATATTCGAGAATAATATCATCGATTTTTTTTACAATATCTGCAGGTTGTCCTTGAGATGGTACTTTAACCATGCCTGGTAAATCGACCAGAGTAAGATTAACAACTAAAAAAAAGAAAACAAATTAAATATTGTCAATTTTTGTAATTATAATATCTTTCGTCGAAGTTAATATTCATCTAAGTTTTAGACTAATAAAAATATAACTAATCTATAATCAAATTATCTTCGGCTGTTTATTTTATTGTATGACACAAAAATAGAAAAGAAAAATCTATGAATAAAATATAATTAATCATTTGTCATTGTCAATTTTACTGAAAAGATATGACAATGTACAAGGAATCTTTTTTTGTTGTTTATTATAGTTCAGATTTTTATAAGTTGTCAATATTCTTCTCATAGAGAAAAAGAAATTATTATTTACGTAAATTTTAATATATATTAATATTCGTATCGCGTCAGATGTGAATTCATGATTTCTTTTTTCAATAGAAGGTAAATAATGTAAAGTTGAATAAATTTATTTATGTTACTAGAAATCTTAAATTAAGAAACTGTTCAGTCTTTAATTTTAATTTTGAAAAATTTATGATATCAACCTATGAATAGTTCTTAATTTGAGTGACTCAAAAAAAAAAAAAAGACAAAATTTAATGAATAGGTACATGTCTGTAATTTTCCATATGAAATAAAATTTCATAGAATATGATTATCTTCAATCGATTATTCATCTTTTAATAAGTTAGACAAAACCTAATTTCATTTTAAAATATTTAGTTTAAATCCTTTATATTTCAAACTTTATGTATTAGAAACTCTATTTAATAAATTCGATAGAATTTCCCATGAGTATACATTTGAATAATTTTATCAACTAATATCTATCGCGTACAATTGACTAAATGGTTTTCATCATCTTATTAATTATTAATGTACTTAACACAAAATAACTTGATATAAACATAGACTTCAAAACAAAAGAAAAAACTAATCATTAATTTTTATATTTATTATTACCATGTGGTGAAAAAATTGTTAAATTAATTGGTAAACTTGATACTCCCATATCATCTCGTACAATAGCTTTAGTATCATTTTCAATTTCTGCTCGAACATCAGCATAATTAATAAATCTTTGTTGTGGTTTATGTCCAAATATTGCATATTCTAATTAAAACAAATAATATTATTGTTTTTCGATTTATTATTATTATTATTATTATTTTCTCTACAACTTACCTTGACCTTGTGATGTTATTAATTGCAGTACAAGTGGTCGTTTTGTAACCATGTTTCCACCACGAGGTAGAAAATCACTATAAAATGATATTATTAAACAAAAAATTAAAAATTTTTATATATGTAATTTACATACCGTCCGACAATATTTTCAAGTACAGAACTTTTACCAGCTGATTGAGCGCCAACAACTGCTATTTGTGGTAGTGTTAATGTTAATTTTGCATTAACTGATGTAAATATATGTTGTAATTGATTGATCATTGGAATTAATAATTCCATATCTTAAAGAATAAAATTTATTTTTTTAATTTTTTTTTTCTATTTAAAATAATATGTTTCAATATTTACTTGGATTTCCTGCATGAGTTGCCATGGCTAGTTCTAAAAATTAAAAAAATAAAGAAACAATATTATCTCAACAATATATCAATGATAAATGACGTTTGTCTATTTTATTTCGTTTTGTATTGTATCATAAAAATATTATGATATATATCTAATAGATGAGTCAACTCATTTTTCGTCCTCATATCAAAAGTACGAACAAATGAATGATCACTATTTTAATGATGATACGAGATTGAGTCAACTATTATTTAGTTGTGTTTGTTTATTTGTTTTTTTTCGGGTACGATTTCCAATAGAACAAGAGAACAATCTAGATGGCGCTTATTTCAATAGTAAAGAACAATTTAAAAAAAAACAAAAAAGTTTAACGAACTAAAATAAAACTCAATAATGATATATGAATAAATTGACAAATGATAATAATTATAATTAAATACTATAAAAGAATACGAACGAACGAATGAATCTTTAAGTACGTACGATTAGGCTACATGATACAGTATAATGCGAGCACTTGACTGATATGTAAATTGAAAAGTATGAATCGTTTCTTTTCTTTAAGAATTTGAGTCATCACTTTATGTACAGTAAGAAAAAAAAGTCAGTGTCTGTCTTCCTTTTAAGGGTAAAAAACAAAAATGAAAAGAAAAAGTTTGTGATATTTTTTCGATGAATAATAAAAATACGAAAGTGTTTATTTAACTGATTTTTTATATAATCAACAAAACTGTTTACAAAATTTTTGTATTTATTTTTGAAAAAAAAAGAAAAAGGTCAATTTGATATTTTAATGAATATTATTTCAAATATTCTACAAGTTTCAATTTTCGATCACATGTTAATTGACATTTTAAACGTATATATATATATATACATATCATATTGTAACAAATTCGATTCCTTATCTTTTCAACGAACCCGATAAAATTCTGTTGGTAATTTGAATTATATATATATCGCTTTATCGTTAAAACTAACATATTTTCATATTGACAAATGTGTTATTATAAAGGATTACCATATAATCGATTGCATATAACCACTTCTAAATAGTATGATTATGTAGAATGATCATCTAGAAAGTAGTTTTGAATCAATTTTATTTTTTTATCTCTTATTACAAATATTAAGTATAAAGAAAAACTATACAAGTGTAAATTGAGATGATTTAATTTGTTCGTTTCTAAACAATCAATGTGTTATCTACATAATTCGATTGTACGCATTTTGTAGTTAAAGTTTATTGATTATTTCCTTTATTAAACATCAGCTTTATTATAATTATTTGTTAAAAAAATCACGAACTATTGATGACTATAGTATAAGGCCTCTATCGTGATTAAGACAATGGATTTATGTATTGCCTCTGCTTCACGATAAATAAGCTTAATGAAATAATCTAATCAAAACAAGAATTAGACCATTTTTTTGTTTTGTTTGCAATTGTCACTCCTGGATAAAAGAGTCTTCCTTTCTCTTATTCTTTTCGTACAGAACTTCATTGATCTCAACGGAATATTAATTATAAGAATGGCTGCAGTACTTTATTGTAGTATATGAAAATATATTTTTCAATACAGTTGAACGATACTACAAATGAGTTGTTTGACAGAATCTATTTACTAGTGTGAATCATTAAATTCTCTTTATCATCGACTTAAAACTCTTCCGAGAGTGAGTGTTATACAAATACAAATAAAGAAAAAAACATTCAGAAAATATCAAAAAAAGAAAAAGAGATAACTCAGCTATGAAGTATTCTATCGTAATGCTGACCGATTGTATTGAATGACGTACATTCTTCATTGAAGCAGGTTGTAATCAATCATACATTATACTAATATACAGTATTTAAAAGCCATTCTTGTAATCAACATTCACTTTAGATAAAAGGACCCGATATGGAAAGAATGAGGAGGGAAATAATATGCCCATGGGTATATTTAAGATGTACTCATATAATGAATTTCATCTTCAAAAAAACAAAAAGAATCTTTAATGAAGAATATATTGCCGAATCTAACAAGTTCATTCAATATTTTTATTTGTTTCTTCTACAAATAAATTGGAAGTATAAAAATTATTTTTCATTATCAATCGATGTATTTTTATCACAACAATAGTAATTCATATTTAATCGTTTTAAATTAGCATTATATGTATATAAAAAAATATATTTACGACTATTTTGGGAGAACATATTCAATTATTGAATGTCACCGTTTGACTTAATATATAGGTTACGAATAGCAGTCTGTGAGACTAAAGAAAGTTTAAACGAATTCATACCCATATGTATCGAAAAAGATATTTTCGTTTTGATTGAAAATTTCCGAACTATCTCATAATTAAGAAATGCATTTATTGGCATAATTTCAGTTCAAAACTCTCTATACATAGTCATCCTATGATGTCGGATTACGTCTAACAGTTGAATATGTTTTTACGATAAGAATCATATATTTTTGTAGATATAATAATATCTTCTTTAAAGCTCGATCAGTAATTTCTTCACCGATACCAATTGAATACTAAACTCAATCGAATTAATCAATGAATATATTTATAATTAATTTCCCATCTCCATCAGTACTATTTAATAAATTCATTCGAAATTATAAAACTTTTTTGATATTTTCTACTATCAAAATTTGTTATCCATTCAATTGGTGAGAATATTGTTATTGATGCAATCAATCGGAATAAATGAATAATAGAAATATAAGAATTTTGAAGTCTAAAAAAGTCTATCATATCGTGACATATATTGATTGTTCGATCTTTTCCTATTAATAAATAAATGTGTATAATTGTTATGACAAATGTTTTTTTTTTTTTCTGTTTTGAAATATAATATTGATGTCGTCTTATGAAATATTTACGTCAATATATGTTATCATATATTGCAAAATGAATAACAATGCATTTCGAGTTGACATTTACTATATATTATTTATAAGGATTAAATAATGATTAAAATAAAATCTTTGTTATTTTTCTTTTACTTTAATAACTTTTCAGATTTAATTCTGAGTAAATTAAATTTATAATTGTCAGATCTTCAAATTGAATTTGACCTTTCGAAGTTTTATATTTTATTATTTTTTATAGTTTCTATGAAAATATAGAAAAATAAAAAGGAAGAATGATTTTAATTTGTTTTTTTTTTCTAACGTAGTTCTAAATTTTCAATGAAACTCTGAATCTCAATGTAATGAGTCTTATTTTCGAATGTAGCGCGAATGTTTATCAATAATAACATATTATCGTATCTATTTCAACTACTGTTCTTATTCACCTTTGGCATTTATATACGTCATACATAGCTGTTTCGAATCTTGTGAGAATATGATTATAAATTTCTCTATGATATTTTTGATTCAAAAATGTTTTTTTCTAATTAATATGATAATTTTATTCAATATATATATTTCAATGATTTTTTTCTTTACCTTTAGTTGTATAAATTCATCTTTCTCTTAAATCCGCACTCATTTTGAAATAATATTTCATAAATAATGAATTCAATTTTCTTAATAAAAAAAAAAAATAAATCAATATATATGTTTTTGTTATTGATTCAAGGAAAATTTTCATTTCAATCATTGAATGACTGACCATTCAATTTAAAATAAATTTAAAAAAAATATATATACAAACATATAAAATTAACTTTGAGATAAAACATTATTAGCAAAATCTTTTAAAATGTCTAAACTTATATGATCACGTATTTCGAGTACTTTATGACCAAATTTTTCTGCTATTAAAATATTTCTTATATCATCATCCAATAATAAAATTTCATTTGGTTTTATTGTTTTATTACGTTTTGTTGCAATTTCAGTAACAACAGATGATAAATGATATTCTTTTCCAAGAAAATTTTTTTCATTTATATTTGATATAAATTCTGGTGTATTACATCGTATTATAATTCGATCTGTTTTACTAAAACAAAATAAAAGTTTAATTTTCAAAAAAAAAAAAACAAAACGAAATTGACTTACGAAGTTTTAAATGCTAATTCAAGTAATTTTCGTATAAGTTGTTCTTGTGATGAAAAAGATACAATACATAAATGAAGTGTTTGACAAAATGCTGGTGAATCAAGAATTTCTTGAATAAAATAAAGAAATGTTGATCGAATATGTTCTAATAAATTCTCAGCTGTTCCTTTATAATAACCACTTGTATGTATTGATAATAATGTATTATCAAAATCAATAGCAATAAGTTTAATATTTTTACGTTGTAAACATAATACAATATCACGAACTTTAGCACGTTGTTCAGCAACATATTTAGAACTACTTATATGTTTTGATAAACCATTTGAATTTTTATTCATTTTTTTATATGAATGTTTGATTTTTATTGAAGTTATTGGTTGAGATAACATGGTTTTATTGGAATGAGGCACTTTAGCTACGTCAGACATGTCTATGGATAAAAGCAATCTAAACAATTAATTGTATGATGCGCATATATATTTTATAGATGAATCGGAGTAAAAGAGACAATCGATAGAACATCATTCACACGACGACATACATATTCGTCTATCTAGATAAAGGTAAACGTGGGGGCGATGTTTGTATGCAATATACATCCTACATATTTCTTTCTCTCTCTTTTTCTATAGAGAATGAAATAAAGGTATGACAAACATACATACGTTAGAACAGAGCTCATTACAGTCAGTGACGTACATTTGTGCGCACATCTTTGCTGATCAAAGAAATATACAAGGCTGTTTTAGTCACGAGTATTATCTTAGATAAAAATAAACATATCATTTATATCCGTCGGAAAGATTAAACAACATGATGATAAATATTTTGTTTCTATTTTAGTTTATTGCAGAAACTAGAGAAAAAAAAATACTTTCATTTCAATAATATTGATAAAACGTCCTCAGGTTTCATTATACCCGATGAACCAATAATAATCTAAACACAAAAATAATTAAAACTTAGTCATTCTTGTTTATTTGTTGTTCTTACTTGTTTTTTTATTTGTTGACTATATTCTTGAACAAGTTGAATTTCATGAGATGTTATACCACCAACAATAAAAATAACAATTGTGGAATAATCATTACTAATTAAATTTGGTTTTGTATCACCAAAGAATCTATTAATGAGAAAAACAAAACCTATTATAATTATTATTTCAATATTCTTTCTTACCCTCTTGCAGCACTTTTAAAAAAATCTGTAAAACCATCAAAAGGTATATGTTCAATATCATGCATTAATTGTTCTTGTTGAGTTGTAGAAACATTTGTAGAACCAGTTAAACGTGATGAAAGTGATGGTGATGATGATCCTGAACTTCCATGTCGTTTAAATAAATCAAATATTTGTTTAAGTAATGATTGTCGATAATTTGGTTGTTCATCATAACCATGAACAATAAGAGAACTATAGAAAGATATCATTTGAATAATCATTAAAAAATAAAACGAACTTTAGATATTTATAACGTCGTTTATAAGATAATAATAAATCAAGTTTTTGATAGATTATATCAAGAATATGTTCAATCTCTAATGAATATCCAAGAGCTATATGAAAAAAGTTTACAATTTTTTCTTTTTTTTGAAATAATTAATTCTTCTCTCACTATTCATTGCTTCACGAAGAGAATTTGTAAATGATGAATCATTAAGAATTTCTTTTCCAATTAATTTCTTTAAAAAAAAATAAAAGAAATCATTGTTTTAAATTAAAAAAAATATTTATTATTTACATGTGTACGATCTTTTTCTTCTTTACCATAAAAAACATCATTACCAGCAAGAGAATAGATATGAACAAGAAGAATAACATAATCAATTAATTTTAATTGACTAGAAATTAAGAAAAAAAAAAGATAAAAATATCTAAAAAAATCTACTAACCGTTGTTCTTCAGATTTCATTAAATCTTCTTTTAATGTTTGTAATATAATTGAAAATGGACTAGGACCAGCATTTGTTGTTAATGCTTGTACAAGAATCTTGAAAATAATATTCAAATTATATTTACAGTCAAAGACAAAAATTTAAACGAAAATGTATTTTTGATTTTTTCTATAATAACAAACATCTAACTGAAATCCAAATAGTGATTCTGATAGTCAATGAAGAACTCTATTAAATACATCCTATACCAAAATTTCATAGATGATTTAAGGTAGCAAGGTTTCTAGAAAACCCAGAACCGTATTTTTCAGGTCTCAGAAGATTTTGCAATAATTTGTTTTTAACAGTACTAACTTAAAGAGCACAAAATTTTGAATAAAATAAAGGGTCGCCGTCTTTTCTGTGATCTTCCTTTCAAAAGTTATAAGCATCACAAAAATCGAAAAAATACGATTTTTAGCGATTTCTTGATAAATTTCACTTTTTTTCCAGTTTTTGTAATGCTTATAGCTTTTGAAAGGAAGGTCATAGAAAAGACGGCGACCCTTTATTTTATTCAAAATTTTGTGTTCTTTAAGTTAATACTGTTAAAAACAAATTATTGCAAAGTCTTCTGAGACCTGAAAAATACGGTTTTGAGTTTTCTAGAAACCTTGCTACCTTAAATCATCTATGAAATTTTGGTATAGGATGCATTTGATAGAGTTCTTCATTGACTATCAGAATCACTATTTGGATTTCAGTTAGATGTTTGTTATTATAGAAAAAATCAAAAATACATTTTCGTTTAAATTTTTGTCTTTGACTGTAGAAAATAAATTTTCTATTTATCTCTTACTTTTTCAAGTCCAATTAATCGTTCCATTTTCTGATTTTGACTAATAGAATCCATAAGTTGCATTAAACAACAAGATATGACTAGAAGTTCATAATTTTTACATATAACTTTTGGTGATTGTCTAGAATAAAAAAAAAAATCTATATAAAAACAATCGGAAAAATATTTTTTTTAATTTTTACTTGAATTTTTCTAAACAAGCACTAATAGCAGCAGCTGATACTTTAACAGGTTTTATTTTTGTTTCCAAATTATTATAGATAAGAGATTCAAGAAGATGAGTAAAAACTTCAGTTGTTGCTACCTTGAATAAATGAGAAGAAATATTAAACGAAATCTTCGAACTGGTTAATCACTTTCTGTATTTTTGTAAGTCAATTAAATCAATTTTTCGAGATGTTATCGTTTGGTTTTTGTTATCAATAAGTTCTCTACAATCATTTTCTCTCTTATCCATTTCAAAATTAAGAATTTTTTAAAAAAAAATTCATCGAAAAATTTTAACCGTCAATCAATGTATCGGCTTACATCTCTGTGATACTTTCAGATATTCTAATGTTTCTTTTATCCTAAAATTAGAATATTGTTAAGAATCCGAATATTTTTCAGGGTACTCATAGCTGATTAAGCTTTATGTTGATGTACATAATTCTAATTCAATAGGAATCAATCAGTTGAGAGATTTTTCTCGTTAGATAAATATCAATCTTTGAATTCAAGATTTAGATTGCATTCTATGCAACAAAATACCATTGGCTCTAGGTCTGAATAAGAAAAAAAAATTTAATTATCATTTTTACAAGAGTATAATATAATTAAAACTCATCGGAAATAGAAATTTGTTCTACAAATACGATAGAAATCACTACATATTTAGACTATGCGACATGTATTTATTGAGTAAATTCTAGCATTGTCATCAATTAGTATTTTTCTATATTCAACATCTTATCAATTAATTTTTTTTTTCCTATAGAAATACAATCGAATCATCACAAATCGAATATTTATCTATAGAATTGCCTTAAGCATAGAACTAAGAGACATGTCTTCGGCAGTGTAGAATAGCTTGAAAGATTATTTCTTATTATTAATTTAATATGTGCATTCTTTGTCTAGATTTCATCAACAGTCGAGAATTTACTACGTAATCAAATTTTAAATTTGTTCATAAGTGAATTTATAGATTCTAAAATTTATAATCTATTGTATTATTTAAAAAATATATTTTTTAATTTTATATACTTTCGATTTTGAATAAATAATATTATCAAATACTGATTTAGTATCTTCATTTGTTATGCGTCGTTTCATATCCGCAAATAAATATGAATTAAAATCATTTTCATATTTTGATCTATAAATAAATATATTGAAAATTTCTATTCAATTATTTTTTTTTTCTAAACTTACGATGAATTTTTTAATAATGCTCGAGTATCAATTTTAACATCAATCGTACGTTGATAACAATTATCAGAACTTTTTATACGTATATTAGGTAAAATATTAATAATTTGTGCAAGTAATGTATCTTGTTGATGAGATGATGGTGTTGCTAAATCTAAATGACGATCAATTAATAATAAAGCTATTTTATTTTCACCAGACTAGAATAAAAAACAAAACAAAACAAACAGAAATTTAAAAAACTAAAGATAATGATTAATTCTTATATACTCGTCGTCTATGTTTAATATTTGTCATTTGTGTATATTCACGAGCTATAATATGACTCAATGGACCAAGTATAAATATATCTTCACGTGCATTCATACTTGCGACTAAACTATTTAACATTTCAGCATGAATCTATAATAGATTATTTGTTTTTATATATTTGAAATTCAAGAAAGATAAAATTTCTTACTCGAATTGTTTTTATTTCATCTCTTTTAAATATAGTATCTAATGATATCGTCTAAATGAAAATTTGTAAAACAAAATACAAGAGAATGAGAAACATTTTGTTTCTATTTTACTTTAATTTTTTCATTAGTGAGTGAAGTCACAGTTTCAATAGTTGGTAATTGATGTGGAATAAGAGCTGGTATTAAAAAGAATGAATCTGTTATAGAAATAAATGGAAATTGTAAATGTTTTATTTGTAATATATCATATAGATTTTCTTCTAATTCATTTTTATCATCATCAATTATTGATGGTGAACTAGTTAATAATGTAATTGAATCAAAATTTTGTTCAGTACATATATCATTTAAACGAGATATTGGTATTGATTGATTAAGAATGATAACTAGATTTGAATGTTTATTATTTTCGAATAAATTCTTTAAAAATAAAAAAAGAAGAAAAGGAAAAACGCTGTCATTTGAAAATATTTATTTTACTGAATCATTAATTTGTTTTATAGTTGGACGATTTATTGAACAAAATAAATGTCCGATGATATTTGTTACACGAAACCATTCTAATGTAATTGTATCAACTAAAACTAAAGCATTTGAACAAAGTTTACATAATGAATTTATATGATTTGTTTGAATAGTTGATAATGATATTGAAGTCGACATATGATATAAATTATTAGTGTATTATTATTAAAATAAATATCATAATTTTCAGAATCACATTATTACTTTTTATTTGGCTTATGGAATAGATCAACCAACGGATTGTATTCGATCGGAGATGTCGCCTTTGCTCGTACATGAAAAACCGATTAAAAAAAAAACTTAGTCATTTATCACGATAATTCTTTACCTTTTGATTACGGATATTTTATATAGCTAAAACCTTGTATTAAAAAATTATTTCTGAACGAAAGAATTGTTATTCTGCTGAAGGTATCTACTTTTGAAAATACATCTTTGCAACTAAAAGTTTTTAAACAATTGATGTTTTCTTTTATCATTATTGTTGTATATGTAATGAATTATAAGGATTTTATAAAAAAAACTAATGATATTTTTATTAAATGTTACTAGATACATAGACGGCAGAGTCATGAGACTTAGGTAGGCTAAAGTCTCGTCAAATTTTTGCAAAAAAAAAGGAAAATTTTAAAAGTAGATTAACTAGTCACAGAAATGAACTCTTTTGCGATAAGAGACGAAAATAAAAATTCTGCTATCGACAACAGATACACGACTATAAGATTATTTATTTATAACAAGACTCAGAAGACCTTCTCGAAATAACAATTTTCAGTTTTGATATTTAAAAAAACTCGTTTCTCAACTTGTCGTCATTGTTCTGATTAATCTGGAAATGTATGTGAAATGGAACGAAGATTGAATTAGAAATGATATTGATATTAATCAATGTCCCATAAAAATTTCCAACCTATTTTAGACATGATTTACATTCCTAGACAAAGTGAAAGGATTCGAGAACTTCAATTCATCGCTGTTATCATTTTGTCATATTTGCTTTATTTTTATTCTTCTGCAAACGATTTTCTTTTCATTGAAGCAACAGTTTATGAGTCAAGCATGTTGGAAAAAGTAACAAATGAAATCAGTGAGATCAGTTCAGTTCGCAACTATTCAAAACGGGACTCCTCACTGATTTATATGGAATTTCCCCATTTCAAAATAATTATCATTTATTGAGAAGTACTTATAAACACCGCATACAATGATCTGACATTGATATGTAAAATCAAAACTTTTTCTAATAAAGCCATGGACACATTAGAAGACCTCCCCATAATAGAAGACCCCCTTCAGAAGAACGACGCAAAAGACAGATTAGAAGACCCCCTCAATAATAGTTGATTTCTTAGTTCTTCCAACATCTATTTATTCATAATTTTTGCATCTTTATATCTTTTGAGCGTCTCTTGAAAATATTTTTCTATCTTTTCTGGGGTACCAAGCAGTCTATGTTCAAACAATATCATACGTAATTAACTCAGATATACATGCATGTTATCTCCAATTTATCCTCTTTTAACTCTGAATCTCACTTGCCTTCTCTATGACGTTTCTTTGAAGGCACATGAATTGAAAGTTAATAGAAGACAAATTATGAGTACCGTATAGATATACAGGATGTCCCAAAAATAACCTACCAAAAGTTTTTTCGTATATATTTTCTATTTTATTTAACTTTATCAACAATCTTTTTAAAAATTATAGATGAATATATCGAATTTTTATTTATCCAAACGAACTTCCACATTACTATGTAAAACTATCATCTTAAGTGAAGATACAATAGTTTTGCTTTCGTTCTAATATTCGAGTAATTCAAAAGTTGACTAAGGTGTTTTCTTTGATATTTTTCATATGGTTAGATAGAGTTCGTCGAGTTCTACAAGAATACGTAGATTGAAAGATTTTTAAACCTTTTTTTTTTTTGAGACAAAATCTGCGAGAAATTCCCACAGTAAATTGAATTAGTTAGAGAATAAAACGCTATATAATGTTTTTCTGAAAATATAAAGAAAACAAAATTTTTATATTTTTATCTAAGATGATAGCTTTACACAATAATATGGAAGTTCATTCGGATAAATAAAAACTCGATATATTCACCTATAATTCAAAAAAAATTTTGTTGATAAAATTAAATAAAAGAGCCTATATATACGAAAAAATTTTTGGTAGGTTATTTTCGGGACACTCTGTAATATGTTGCAAACAGCAACCATTGTTATAAGTGACTTTGATAGATACGTGGAAAATTCAAAAACTTTGAATTTCTTCTTCTATTTGATTATGTCAAATAAAAATATTTTTTGATGTATTTCTTTTATCATGTGAAAAACACTTTTGCTATAATGAACTGTCAAATATGTTCTGCTATGTATATAGTGTATTTTATAAAAAAGATACTTTTGTCGTAAAATGTTTTTTGTAGCTAGAATAAAGACTTTTTTATTGTACTAGTCCTGAAAAAGCCAAAGAAATATTTAGGAACAACTAGTGTTCATAAAAAAAACGTTTATGGAAACTATCCTTCAGAATAGCAAAAAAAATCACTTTTCTAAGGGACATATTAGAAGACCCCCCTTACGACTTGCGAGCGACAGGACAGATTAGAAGACCCCGGGTCTGCTAATTTATCAATGGCTTTATTCAAAAATGCACGAAGTCATCTATGCATAACATGTTGTGAAAAATTTTTGTATTAAAAATTGTTGCCAATTCCATTAAATCGGAAAAGTCAAGAAAGGTATTTATATTTTGAAACAATGAAGAATTAATGAAACGGTTTACATGGAGAGATTATCTTTTGATGTTTTTTGACAAATAATTTTTTTTAGTGAAGTTTAATAAGATTTAAAGATGTTCGTATTTGACAGCATCTTTTATTATATGACTTTATCAAATTATTGTCATTTATTAACTAGGAAAAATTCTATCTACTCTAGATTGACATAGTTCTATCATCTTAACCTAAGAATCGCTTGTTTCGATAATGCAAGTGTTTTTTATATTATGGAAGAATTTTGGTTTTGTCTCAAGTGTATTCATGTTAATGATGTGACACATGAAAAGTGACATTGACAATGTGTCATTTTGTACTTAATAATCCAACACTCAGTCTTATAGCATTGTTGAAAGCCTTAAAATTATTTACTAACTTATCTACCGGACATGTAATGTATTATATAAGTGCTGAATAATATCTGAAAAATGAATATTGACTATATGAATGATGCTCTTTTTTGTCTGAAAATACTTTTATGTTGTTTAAATTTAATCAACAAAGATATTTTCTTTATTTCAAATCAAACAGCTACATTTTAATTTGAGAATTTTTCAGTAACGTATTCAATTGATAAACATCAATCATATCTGTTTTATCAGAAGTAAATATTATTAAACTTTTTTAAAATTTAATATTCATTCATTATTAAATTCAACTCTCCGAGAAACTCGCGCTGCAATTGTTCTTTGTATACAAAACTCTTCTAATGATAATAATTATGTATCATTCCAAAAATGCTACGAACATTTGTTTTTCTCGAAATCAGTTTTTATACAAAAGAATTGTCGAATTGCACCCGTTTCTTCGACATAGTACGTTCGACCGAGCTGAAACATTTGTTTTTTTTTGCAGGTATTAGATATTGTTTGAGGTTCCTACTTTTTTTGTTTTGAAAAATATTGCATCATTGATTTTTGGTAGATTTTACAAAAGAGTATACATTTTTGGAAGTACGCTCAGTATTTTGATCCTTTTATTCGAATGGAAGGAGATAAAAAGAAAGTAAACACGCAAACAATGTCTAGTATCTGTAAAGAGAATTCGAACGTATTGCGACTCTCGATATTTTCTAAAACAAAGTATCTAGTGGTTTGGAATCAATGACAACTTTTGTTCTATTCATCAAAATCTATCTACCCTGAAAGTTTTAAATATTTATGATGAGTGGTTCTTTAGAAATCTCAAAAAGGGAACACTTAAACATAGATCTGTATTTGACTGCTTGATATGAGTTCTATAAAGAGCAACTATTAACTGTAAATCTATTCGATAATGAAGTTTCGCGAATGAAATGCATTTAATGATGATACGATGATTCAAATCTTGTTAATATTAATGATCGAAGTTTAGGAAATTCATCAAATGAAATAAATTGCAAAACAAAGACTTCAGTTTGAGTAACTGTAGTTTCATCTGGCAATGTTAATGAATGAATTTGTAATTTGGTTTCATAATTTAATCTGTACAAAATTGATCAAATATTGACTTATAGACATGATGAGAACCAAGATGTAATACCAATATTTCAAATAATTTTGTTAAAGCGATAATTCAATTTAGTTTGAGTCTTATTTGATGAGAAGAGAAAAAATTCTTGTGCAATTTTAAACAACAAATAGTTGATTATTAGCTCTTTTGTCATTCAAGGAAAATGGAATATTTTTTTTTTGTGAACTATCCGAAGCAGAAAACATGATAGATGAATTTTTAATTTTAATCAAACTAGCTTGATAAAATTCGATCTTATTTATATGACGATGTTTACTAAGTATATGATTTATTAGTATATCGAATTTTTTGCTAAAAGATAAGTACGATCCGTGTACTGTTCTTGATACTAGATAAACTTATTATTTATAACAGAACTTCTTTTTTTTTTGTTTAAGCAATATCATCTCAGAAATCATATTGCCCAAGAAGAATATGCGTATGTTGAATGACTACAGATCTAATGACTCATAGAAACAAATTGTTTGCAAAAATCGATGCTGTTATTCTAGTAGTAATAGCTATCATATGTTCAATCGGATAATTGTTTACATAAAATTCATCCATATGTAATTAGAAATAAATCATTCATTGCTTTATTATAAATAATAAAAAAATAAACATAGCCATTTACATGTGCTTTTTAAATTGATTATACATGAATATTTATTTGTGTATACGCTTCTATGATTGACAATCAAATATAGAAGATTATTAACTTGTAGTTAGATTCATTGAGTTTCTTCCTTACTATCACATAATATCTGATCCGGCTATGAGATAAGTCGATGATATTTTAATTAGTTTATACTAGGTGTTGATAATCTGATCTTTTTTTTAATAAAATAAAATAATCAATTTTGAA